ACATTACTTTGAATAAAGCACTTCTGATGTTTCTCTTGAAATTATCGTGTTTTCTTTGGATTACAAAATCTGAATTATTAACCAGTTAATAGGTAATCCGCATTATTAACTGGTTAATACAGATTTTTGTAATCAAAGAAAACACGATAATTTCAAGAGAAACATCAGAAGTTCTTTATTCAAAGTAATGTCCATCGCTAGCCACACATTTCCCCCATCTTTCAGGTAATTACTGGATTTGATCCCAATAGAACTTTTCTTGTTTTGAGGCAGAGCATTCAGAGACCCACTTTTCCACTTCTTCACATGTTTTGCAGGAGGATTCACAGAGACATCTCTGGGGAAGGGGTTTTTTTTTTTACCAAAGATGCATCTCCAGAAACTCCCACATCCATAGTCTAGTGAACTTTCCTGCTTTGGCCGATATCTCCTGGCTGCTCTGCAGATGGACTCAAAGCCCATAATTCTGGTGAGAAGAGAATAATTATAGCGATGCCGGGGAATACGCTGCCTCCCAGCTGTAGGGGATTGAATGGTGTCCTCCACCCCAAGATAGAAGTCCACCTGGAACCTCAGCGTGGGACCTGGTCTGGAAGAAGCGTCTTCATAGCTTTCCTTAAGGTCAGGCTCTGGAGATGAGATCAATCCTGACTTAGGGATGTGCCCTAAATCCAGTGAGTGTCCTTGTAAGTCACAGAAAAGGAGAAGACAGAGAGAGAGAGACACAGGGAGGAGAGGCACGACAGGATGGGGGCAGAGAGTGGAGCGACACTGCTAGAAGCCAAGGGTTGCCAGAAGCTGGAAAAGACAAGGAAGGATTCTCCCAATTAGGTGTTTGAGGGAGTGTGGCCCCGCTGACACTATGGTTTCAGATCCCTGGCCTCTAGAACTATAAAACTATGCATGTTTGCTTTTTTAAGCCATCAAGTTTGCAGCAATTTGCTGTGGCAGCTCTAGGAAGCTAATACACAACTCCTGATAAATCTTTCATGGTTAAAAATGGTGCAACCTGGGCGGTTTCTCTCAGTGCTGCGGCCCCAGGGCCCCAGGGTCCCTCCCAGTCACAGGGCCTTTGTGTGGCAGATGTATGTGGTGCCTGTGGGTGAGAGTGGTGGCATCAGCCCTGAGGACAGGAGATCTACTATTAGACAAATGGAAACAATAGAGATTCTCTGGCAGACACATTTGCAAACTGACAATGAACTTGCTGTGCCCTCAAGGAAGGTGAGTCAGATGCAGAATTCACTCAATAACATAAGACCTCTTGACTCATTCTCAATGGAGGTAAAGATGGAAAAATTGTGTGTGTCTATCATTGCAAAATGTGTATACTCTGACATGTTTTTATGCTTTGGAAAAAGCGCTTTGCCTACAAGTTTTAGCCTTAACCTTGAGGTTTAGTCAGTTCTAGTCTAAATCTCCTTCACTTCAGACTTCACAGCGGTATTGCCCCCTCAGAAGGCCCTTCTGCCTTTGGTGGTTGGCGGAGCTGCATGAAGCTCTACTGCCATCGTGTGGTGCTCATGCGCCACTACACCCATTTTTGATGAAGTTCCTGTTCTTACTAACAGAGGGCAGGGATTGAGGCCGCTCCCGGAAACCCTTGTTTATAATTTTGAGTTTTTGGCTTTGAGCTAGTATGGCAGGGTGAGGTTTGAAACGGAATATTTAGATTGAGAAGAACCATATAATACAACCTCTGTTTGCGTGTTATTAATGCGGTGGAAATGCACAAATATTGCACAGCCTCCCTGGAGGTGAAGACAGACTATTTTGAATTTCTGATTCTTTTTTAATTCCCACCCAGTCAGGGTTTTCATGGCATACTTTTCTAGGAAGCAATTTACATACCTTAGAGTCATATTTGGTGAGTGGCTGCTATTAAATTAAGGGAATCGTGCTTTCTTTTCCTCCATCTAATGTCTCAGGACAGCGGGACTTTCCCGCCTGCCCTGTGTCCCATTCCTCTTCCCCAGCCCTGACCACATCGCCAATCAAGTTACAGCTCAGAGCTCTGGCTGGAGTTTTGAAAGTTCTGGAACCTTCTACCTTTTCTACCAATATTTAGAGACAAGACTGCTCCGCAGTTTTCTGGAGCATTATTTGAAAATGTGTCTTCAAGAGAAACAAGTTTTTAAAGGGTAAGAAAAGAATTCTTAGAACATTGCTCCAGGGGATTCAATTTACCAATGTTCATTAAATGAAGCAGACATCTAAGTGGCTGAAAGCCATGACTAGCTTCACCTGGACACTGCTTTCTAGGCCTGGGCCCTCCCACCTTTCTACGGAAAGTCAGATCCACCAACTCGGGCATCACCCGAGAGCAGGGCCAGTTTCATATGGGTTATACTTGCAATTTTAATGAGCTCTTTCCCCAGTGCAGACATCTCCATATTGGTATGCATAGGTTGAGAAATCAAAACACCATTTTTGATATGATAATACATTTAAATAAAGGAAAAACAAAAGCAGACCAAACCAAAGTATTGTTTTCGGACTACAAGATGGAGAATTGCATTCAAGACAAATCTTGGCTACAGACAACCAAAAAGTATAGAACTTAACTTTGTCTCTTATCTGAAGGAAGAGCTATAGACCCCTTGAGCATTATAACCATAGCCATGTTGGGAGTAGGAGGTGAAATTTTTATGTTTATCAAAAAGAGATCAAGTTCTAATAGACTTAAAAACAGTGATCTAGGAGAATGTAGAGTTAGCTCTCACTCTGCCACTCATTCGTTTTACCATCTTGTTTTTTGTACACATTCTATGTGCCAGGCACTGAAATGCTAGTTTACATCATTGTTTTTTCTTTGAATCATTTCAAAAGGATTTACAGATAATTTCATCCACCCATCCTATCTAATAAAAGAGAAACATGGTAATTAGCTGTATATCCGCTACCCTTCCCATTGGCTAATCAGGGCGATATGCAAATTAACTGCCAGCCAAGATGGCAGCCGGCAGCCATGCACTGAAGCGAACAGGGAGGCTTGCTTGCTCCAGTGACTGCGGACTCCAACGTTCCCC